ATAATTCCTTTGAAGAGCTCCATAGAATGTCATTGTGTATATGTGCCATAAGGTTCCTTCTGATCTCTTGCTCTCATTATTGCACTCGCTTCACCAGAAGTTTTAATGGGATGTCCAGATCAACAGCTTCAGTTGTATCTAAAAATGTATTAGGAGTGCAATGGCTTAACTGAATCAAGGACTGGAAAGATTGCTGGGGCAGTCTGTGTTACAAGTTCTTGGTGATTCGTGCTCAAGTGTGAGAAGTATTACTCTTAAGTGTTGCTTTCATATTGTTGAGATTGTATCTTTGGGATAAACTCTTAAAAGTGAGCTTGCTAATTCAAAAGATTAAAAATGTGCTCTCAGTGCAACAATTAGAAAGATTTTCCTGTGTTTAAGTTTGAAAGGAACTCATGTTTTCCTTTATTAAGTTTAACCTCGCTGTGTGTAGAATTAATGCTGGTGTGTGGTATCTGAAATGAGTTCACTTTCATCTTTTTCAGCTGTTTAGTTGATTCAGCATCTTTCCTCCATTTTACTAAGGTGTTTCATTACCTATATACGTTATGGTTGTTAAGTAATGACTGATTCAAAACTTCTACAAGAAGCCATATTTGCCTGAGAGACCTCTTTCTGAGCCAAATAGCAAGGAGGCAACTAAATACTGCTGTAATATAGCAAGGAGGCAACTAAATACTGCTGTAATATTGTCACACAGATGATTTACAACTTGAAGGAGCTCCCTCTAGCCCCCCCCAAAAAGTTTCATTTTAAGTGCCAAATATTTAATAATTGTTATTAATTTAAACACTCCAAATATATATACATATCTATGAGTTGGTAATGATATGAAAACTCTAGGTACCTCTGGAGTTTGCTATTATTTGATTTCCTGAGTTGCTGTAGCAAATTACTACAAATTGGGTGACTTAAAAAAAATTATTCTTTCACAATTTTTGAAACCAAATCAAAGATTCTGCAATTTTTTTCCTATGCTTCTGTTAATTAACTGCTTGCTTGTTTTACGTTTACCTCCCTCTGATCTCTGCCTCAGTTGTCATAGAGTCTTCTGTCTGCCTTCCCCAGCATCTCTCCATAAGGACACTTGTCGCTGGATTTAGGACCCATCTGGTAATCCAAGATGGCCTTATCTCAAAATTCTTAACTATATAAAAGTGCAATATAAGGTAACTTTCACGGCTACTGGAGATTTAAGCAGCATAGTGGTTACTGCCTGCATTCAGGTGCTAACCAAAAGGTTGGCATGTTGAACCCACCAGGTGCTCTGCCCCTTATGGGCATTTCTACTCTGTCCTTCAGGACCTTTAATTAGTCAGAATTGACTTGACACCGCATGACTGTGTATTAGGACATGGAACAGTCTTTTGTTGGCCACCATTCAATTTGCTATGTGTGCCACCTCATTTTTCTGAAACCCACATTTCATTCGATCTTAACTGCTCCTTAATAGCTCCGTGTCCTTGGGCAAGTATTTACATTTCTGAATACGTAAAATTAGATAGTACTATCACTATACAATATATATAAAATGTATATATTTGCTACTTATTCATTCATTCATCTGTTCTTTAAAATATAGTCCACCCAAGTATAATATGTAGTTTTCTCTCAAAATAGAATGGAAAGAGCTCTGGTGGGCGTAGGAAGAGGACTTGTACTTTTAAGATACCCTCCTGCACTCTTGCTACAAAAGCCTGCCGCTGTTTGGTAGGCATATAGACAATATTTAATACAGCTGTTAATAAAGTTTTTGAAGAAAACTGGTGTAGGCACTGAAAAGAATTGTTAGAGATAAATTGCTTACCTTGTGTTATGTGTAAGTTTTGGCATTTCATTTTCTGTCTCTCCACATAACTGGAGCACACATACACATTCGTAATAGTAAAGCATTATATTTCAAAAGTTTCAACAGTTAACATTTAAGGTTTTTTTAAATAGACCAAAAGTTGGTATTAAGCATTAGGTCTCTTCCCTCACTGGTAGGTGCTGGAATTTTCATGATTTATTTCATTTAGCTTTGTAATGTGCTGTAGTTTCATTTGGTAGAAAGCCATTTGCCTTAAGAGGAAACATTCCAAGTGGTTTGCCCTGGCTATTACTGAAAAAATTAATATAAGTAGATAGTAATAGGTTTCATTATATCCCTTTAAAAGCAGTAATCAAGTAAAAGACAATAGCATGTACTAGTGAGGATGTAGAGAAACTGAAACATGCTCATGCTTCTGGTTGGATTGAATAATAATTGCTACTGCTTTGAGAAACAATTTGGTAGTTTCTCAAAAGGTTAAACATAGAGTTACCATAACAAAACCCATTACTGCTAAGTCAATTCCAACTCACCCTGTGGGACAGAGTAGAACTGCCCTGATAAGGTTGTCAAGCGTAAGCGTAATCGTGATGGAAGCAAACTGCCATATTTCTCTCTCTTAGAGTGGTTGCAAGTTCGAATTGCCAGCTTTTTGATTCACAGCTGAGCGCTGAACCACTGAGTCACCAGGGCTCCTTTGATTGACCATACCTACTGCTGTGGAGTCCATTCTGGCAGGATCCTTAGGGTTTCTGAGGGTAAATCTTTATGGGACTAGACGGTCTCCTCTTTCTTCCTCGGAGCAGCAGTACTAATTCCATAGCTCCCCCCAAGACCCAGTAGTTTCACCCCTAGTGTATTGAAAGAGAGGTGAAAACGTAAGTCCACACATACACACAAAACACACTCATAATAGCCCAAAAGTGGAATAACCCACATGTCCATCATCAACAGATAGAATAGGGTAGGGTAAAACTTCTTTTAAAAACAAACAGTTTTATTAGCACATAACCCACATTTCATACAATTCAATCATATGGTCAAACGTGGTAAGATTGTAGCTGGTCACAGGTGGAAAACTTGGCAAGACCTGTAAATACAAGGCAGTCCTGTGGAGTTCTGGCTCTCACAGCTTTCACTGTACATCTATACAGTGGCATATTTAACAATGAAATAAAGGGAATGCCAAAATATTGACACATGGATGAACTTTAAAAATATCCTAAGTGAAAGAAACCAGTCATAAAGGCCACATACTATCTCATTCCACTTACTTGAAATTTATATGAAAGGTTCAGAATAGGAAATTCCTCAAGAGGAGACACTTGGCTGGGGTTAGTGGCAGGGATTTGGGGTAAGTGGCCCAGGATCTTGTTGAAGGCTGTTGAAATTTGAATTTTTATGATAGTTGTATTAACTCTGAATGTACCAAAAACAATTGCATTGTATATTTAAAGAAATTTTTTTTTGCATTGTGTACTTTAAATAAGTAAAATGTATTGTAGGTAATTTATCTCAATAAAACTGTTGTTTAAAGGAAAATAAATTATTATGGTACATGAATAATAACCTAGTAAAGCTGTCATAAAACAGTGTGGCCTGGGAGAGAAAAAAAGAGGAGCTGATACCAAGGGCTCAAGCAGAAAGAAAATGTTTGAAAACGATGATGGCAATATATGTACAAATATGTGTTACAATCGATGTATGGATTGTTATTAGAGCCCCCAATAAGATGATTTATTACTCTGAATTTTAAAAAATGTGGCCACCACATAATGCACCAAGGAAGGATATGCTTTCTTTTTGCTGCACAACCATTTCAAGAACTACCTTTCACAGAGTACAGTACAGTGAACGCTTTACTCTTTCAATGCTTTAGTTTTATGTCCAACAGAGTAATTGTTCATTCTTTCCCTTACCTATAAACTTAGGTTGGAACACAAAATTTAAACTAAGAATGACAAGTCACCTTCTTAATATTGCTTGCTGTTGTTTTCTTTAAACGTCTCTGCAATGTATTCCTTTCTCCTGGCCTAAAGAGTAGGTTGAAATGCTGCACTCCAAAACACATGTATTTCATTGAATCATGGTTCCTCATTGTCCTATTAGATAGTAACTACCTACCTGCCCAGTACATACTTAACTTGTGCAACCTCATGGACCTTCCAATAATGTGCTATTTTTCCACCTGTAGCCCAACTCGTGTGAGAGAGGCAGTGGTAAAACTGCACACCTTGAAAGCCATCACTTGCAATCATGCTTATACTTTCAGCATTTTATTATTAAAGGGTCTGACTCAGTCATTTCTCTGTTCTTCCTGGTAAATAATTCATACTTTTGAAATTTTCTAGAAAAGCATGAATATATACTTGCAATTAATAAGAGGCATGGGTTTACACAATTGATGTGTGTATGGATTGGGATAACAGTTGTATGAGCCCCTAATAAAATGCTAAAAAAAAATAAATAAATAAATAAAGTTTAAAAAAAAAAAAGAGGCATGGGCTCTTGATGGGAGGCTTTTCATAAGACCAAGATTTGGCTTCCTTCTGACTGGCTAAAAAACAGCCAGTGATGAAGTAGGTAGTTGTTACATCTGTGTAACCTGCATTGCTCCCATTAGAGTAATCCCAACACCCCTCCCCTCCCCCTAATTGTTATGATTTAAGAGGGTAAAGAATATAAGACTTAAAAGAATATAAGGAAACTGCTACTTGTACAGTGTTTGAGATAGAATGGCCTTTTTGCCTTGACTTGAAAGACGGGCAACCTGAGACCCATTCTGTCAATCCAGGGCTCTTCCACTGTGTCATGCTGTCGTTAGATTTATTTTGAGAACATGTTATTCCTCAAAGGAGTCTGGATTTTTTTCTACATTTTATCTAACTTGATGACTCACAGTTTGTTTTCTGCTTCCTGCTTCTTCGATCAATTCTATTGAAAAATTAAAGAATGGAACGTAACGAATACTAACACACGTCCCTTCCCCATCCTATCATCCTTCAATAGAGCTTTCTGAGGAAATAAACTGAAAAGGGAGACTGTTTGAAGTAGAACTCCAAAAAGAAGATCCTTCCCAAAAGTGTTTGATCACAGTTCTTAACACAGGTAGCAGCATATGATTGGGGAAGGAATGGTGCATGATACCAACTCTGATGACATAATTTTTTATTGTCACTTTTCCCCCTAGTATCGTCTAGACTGTCACAGCCATCCTCCCCCCAGTCAGGCTGTCCATCACCCTCCATTCCAGCAGGTAAAGTCATTTCTCCATCACAGAAGCACAGCAAGAAGGCACTAAAGCAGGTAATCATGCCAGTCTCTATTTATCAGAAATACAATCTCCTACATTCAAAATGCCCGACTCAGGGAGCCCTTAAGAATTTCTGGACAACATCTACATTAGGTTCTTTTTAAGGGAAAGTTTCATATAATAACCTACTTTGGTCACTTAATGTAATACCCTTTTATATGATATCTTTTAAAGCCTTTTGGTGGTTGACTATTTCTTCACATTCTAAAAGTTCCTAATTTATTGCTAATTTCCTAAGAGTTAGTTATTTCGCAGGTTTTTTTAAATTGTTGTTTAGTTTTTAAAAGTCATAAATAGGTGTTAACTTTTTCAAGGGTAGTCTCCTCCACCCCCTTAGGAGTTACTGGTATGATCACAGGTAGCTTTTCTTACATGTTTGATTTGTATGTTTTTTAATGTTATTAAAATCTCTTTTAAATTTTAGTTTAGATTTTGTGGTTTTCTTATACTGTTTTGGAATCAAGTTTATTCTACCTACTCACTGCTATCAAATTGATTCTGTTTCATAGCGACCCTATAAAACAGAATAGAACCCTATAAAACAGAATAGTACTGCTATAAATCCAAGGTTATAAATCTTTACAGGAACAGACTGCCCCATGTTTCTCCCACAAAATAGCTAGTAGGCTTAAATTCTCAGCAGCCCAATGCTCAAATCGCTGTGCCACCAAATCCCTAGAGAAAGTTTAATAATTAGCATTGTTTGACTAGCATTTTTCTTTCATCAGGGCTATTGCTCTCTTTTGATTTTCTGCTTTTTGAGCCAGTTCTGGAAGTCTGTTTTTCTTAGAAAATGGTCTATTTTACCTGTTGTTGGGTGTGGTTGAGTCAGTTACAACCCATGACAACCCCACGTGACAAAAGCAGAACTGCCCCAATTAGTATGTAATTTTTACAGGAACAGGTCTTCTTTCAAAACCTAGTTTTTTCAAATATCGTTGTCAAGTTGTATGTAAGCCCAAACTTAGAAACACAAGCCGCACTTCTAACCAATCAATTCTGGTTCATGGCGACCCTGTGGGGCAGAGTAGAACTGCCCCTCTGGAGTTCCATGACGGTAAATCTTTACACAGGTAGATAGCCCAGCCTCATCTTTCTCTCACAGAGCTGCTGGTGAGCTTGAACCCCATCGCAATTAGCAGTAAATTAGTATTCTTTTATTTCTCCTTTCACTCTGGGTTTATTTATCATTGTTTCTTAATACTCTGCCAACATTTGGTCGTTTGGGAGTACCTTTTCAAAGAACTAAGCTCTCTCGAGTTTGAAAATGCAAATGAACAATAAATGTAAGCTCACATTAATTATACATTTATAAGACTGATTATTTTTATTCTTAGCTTGATAGCAATTAAGGAGCTAAATTATATTGAGCATTGGCAGAATTGTGAACAGCACAAGTTACTTGGAACTTGCACGTGTAACTTCATTTTTTATAACCACTTGAAGAGAAATTTTGCATTATCTATTAAAATTTTAAATGCACATTCCCCATGAACAACTGAACAGACTTCTTAGACTAATAGACACGCACACATACAAACACAGAAAGATATTTGTATTTAATCCTTGATAAGCAAAAAAATCAGCAATAGTAAAATATATATTGATTAGGAAATTCTTTAATATATGATGGTATATGCTGAACAATTACATAGAATTTATTTTGTAATGAGATTGATCTTGTTGTAGAAACATGGAAAAATTACCAAGATAAAATGTTGAATTTTTATAACATTTTAGGACATGTAAATCATGCCATTTATGAAAATATATACACTATCTACAAGACAGTATTATATATTTTTTAAAGAAATCTGAGTGCACACATAGATGTAAATAAAACCAAGTTAATTAAGTAAAATCAAATTGATGACTGGCTATTTCTGAAGATTGAGAACCAAGACTAGCAGTGGGAGACACAGGAGAGTATAGCTTTATGTTTGATTGATAGGTTAAAAAAATTTGTGTGTTATTAATATAATTAAAATTAAATAAAAATGTTAAGCATGTCAAAGTAGTTAAACTAAAAATGCTTTTATTAAAAGACATCCCCAAATTTGACCAGATTAATTACTGCTTGCCCGGGTAATCTGTAGCACCCGTATTTTTATAAGTTTTCGGGAAAATGTAAGCAGTATAAGATGCTTCTTTTCCACAGGGAAAAGGCTTGTATTATCTTAAACCTTATTAGGCGATCTATAATATCTATACTATCCCTGTACTCAAGTATTACATTCCTATACTTCCAGGACTCAATTACTGTATTTTCTTTAGGAATATCCCTACAGAAAATTCAATTAAATTAGATTGTTGGTATACACAGTAAGTCTTTTCTCCTGATGTATGCCTTTCTTAATACTACTTAAGAAAAACTACTTCAAAAATGAAAATGAAAAAAAAAAGAAAGAAAGAAAAACTACTTCACTGGAGTTACTCTTCACCACAAATGGGTTTTTTTTTATTTTTTGGTGGTTTTCCAATTTTAAGGTAGGATAATTACAAAAACTGTTTTTACCCTCCTGTTAAAGTTTTGATGAGCAGCCATTATTCTGCTTCCATCATATGTCTATTTACATGATCATTAGAAATACAGATGTACTTTGCATTGACCTCAAATGACCTGGGCTTGTTCTGGTCTGATTGTAAAGGATGAGAGTAAACTGTAATTAATAAGCAACCCTGCCACCTTGTGCACATTGAGCCTCTACCCCACCTGTAATAAATCTTGTCAGTGAGTCCAAACTAGTCATTCAACTTCCCTGCATGACGGTCTTGAAGGATAAAACTTGAAATTCGTCATTAGCCAAGGAAAAAATATTTGTAAAGTTACCCTGAAATGTACCATTACATTCTGGTCTTCTGTTTTTAACTTTGGAATTAAAAGGTTGCCTTAGTGTATTTTCATGATAGGAATTAGGGGTGTTCTGGTAGTTTTATTCATTAGTATTGTGTAGTGTGCTCTATAAACTAAGGTCATTGTGGAAATAAAAAATGTTTTTGAAATAGCAAGGACTCACTATGAGAAGCAATATTTTCTGATCTTTTCTATCTGCTTTATTGCCATAGATTATTAGGTCAGATCTCATTGCTCTGACCCAATAGCTAACTCAAGAAGTCATTTATAACCACCTTAACCTTATTCACAGAATGCATCATCTAATACAATACGAAAATATTTGCCTTTTTATAGATAATAAGTATAAATGAGACATCTTTATTCTGGGCTTAAAATAAATAAATGGATAAATGATTCAAAACATGTAACTCTGTTAGGATTCCAGTTCTGCTTCTATAAGGTTGGGAATTGATTTACTGGTGATTCTAAAAAAGTTCTACAGCATGCTAATGAAGGTTTTTCATTCTGTGTAATACTGAGCAAAAAAACCCTCCCACAAATGTGAAGGATCCTTTAGGCCAGTGGTTCTCAACCTGCTTAATGCTGCAACCCTTTCATAGTTTCTCATCTTGTGGTGACCCCCAACCATAAATGTATTTTCGTTGCTACTTCATAACTTTAGTTTTGCTACTGTTAGGAATCGTAATGTAAATATCTGATATACAGGATGTTTTCATTGTTACAAATTGAACATAATTAAAGCACCGTGACTAATCACAAAACAGTATATAATTATATATTGTGAAATATTTATGTGTTTTCCGAGGTCTTAGGTGACCCCTGTGAAAGGGTCGTTCGACCCCCAGAGGATCGAACCTCTGCTTTAGGTAGTCATTGTTGTATTTAGCTGCTTTACTGTAGTTTTTGTTGGTGTTATTCCCTTTGATATATTTCAAAGCAATTGAGTGCTCACCACTTTAAAATAAGTCATTTTTCTTTATTATCACTAAAAACTGATTGGTTTTGTTTCTTATAGTCAGTTTTCTCATCGTAGGCTCTAAAGCAGCAGCAGCAGAAGAAGCAGCAGCAGCAGCAGCAATGCAGGTCCAGCATGTCCATCTCTTCCAACCAGCATCTTGCTCTGAAGACGGTCAAAGCAGCCAGTGACTCTGTGCCTGCCAAGCCGGGTAGGCAAAGTCTGTCTCTTCCAATGGAAGTTTTTCTCCGTGTTTCAACCCATAAATTATATTTAAATTATTATACTTACCTAACCTTTGTGTTCTTAAATCATCAGTATAATTCTTCCAGGAAAAAAACGAGGGGGAAGGAATTTCAATGCAAAAAAATAAAGAGCATTTTAATAGAAAGCATCAATGGAATTTACATGTAGAAATGAGATTAATGACCAGCTTCCAAGATGTCGAACCTAATAATCCGTGGAAATCTCTATCTACTTAGTAACCTTAGACAGATGATGCTTCTAAGAGGCTCAGCGTGAACTCTACCAAATCACTCCTATAAAACTTTGTTTTCTTTTTTTAATCATTTTATTTGGGGCTCATACAACTCTTATCACAATCCATACATACATCAATTGTGTCAAGCACATTTGTACATTCATTACCTTCATCATTCCCAAAACATTTGCTCTCCACTTAAGCCCCTGGCATCAAGTCCTCTTTTTATCCCCTCCATCCCCGCCCGCCCTTCCCTCATTAGCCCTTGATAATTTATAAATTATTATTTTGTCATATCTTGCCCTGTCTGACATCTCCCCTCACCCACTTTTCTGTTGTCTGTCCCCCAGGGAGAGGGTTATATGTAGATCCCTGTGTTCGGTTCCCCTATTGTCCCGTCACCTTACCCTTACCCTCCTGGTATCACTACTCTTATTATTGGTCCTGAGGAGTTTATCTGCCCTGTATGCTTGTTCTCGTCTAGCCAGATGTGTAAGGTATGATTGAGGTCATGATAGTGGGGGTAGGAAGCTTTAAAATACTAGAGGAAAATTGTATGTTTCATTGGTGCTACACTGCACCCTGACTGAACTTGGCCTTTCTTTAGGAAGAAAATATATGCTAAAAAGCAAATGACATACTTGAAGGAAGGGAAAGGCTTTATTTTAATTTTTGACTTCATAATCTTAGACTCAGATAAAACTCCATTTAGTTAACAGTGAATGATTAATTATTTGATTGCTTGATTTCTACCCAAAGCTTCCGTGTCATTGGTCATTGCCTATTTCTCCCTCTAGCAGCATTGGAAGGAAAGCAATCTGATGGGCAGTCAAGCAGCCCCCAGAACCCAAACTCCAGCTTTTGTTCCTCAGTGAAAGTGGAAAGTCCTCTGCTCGCTTTGGGGAAGAAGTCATTTCAGAGGGCCGACAGGCTCCACACAAGTAAGTGAATTTACAAAGACTTTAGCCGCCTCAGTCTGTTAACTATGTCTGCAACGTGTTGACTATTTTACTTAGATTTATATCTTGTTTTGAGTTATGATTTGACCGTATTTCTCTTCTTGGTAACATGATTTTTAAGAATCGAGATGGATCAGAGAAGGAATTGAGTTAATATATATATTTTCCCCCACCTGTTTCATCCTTTCCTTTAAGCTCTGGGCTCTCTTCAATTTCCTCTTTGTCCTATCCTTCTTGAACTTTATTTCAGAAAAAGGTTTCTTTCTTTTCCTGCCATCATATCATTCAGCATTATTTATACCTTAAGCCTTTTTTCTGATGCCACTGGAAAAAAAAGTAGTATGGAAATAAAAAATTAAATCTATAAAGGTCAAAAATGAAACAACAGGTAACCGATGATGTGAACAAATTTTGAAAGACGGACCTGGTTTTTTTCCACAGAGCTTTTAGGATACCTGCAGAGCAAATGCTAGTAAGAAACAAACCACTAAGACTTCAGAACCCTACAAAGGCTGGGGAATGGGAGCTATCGTTATCACAGATGAGAAGGGTGAGGTATTTGGAAGATAAAAAGGATGTTAATTGAAAGCCATTCAAAAAAACTGCCTCACCCTAACAGGAAACAAAAGGTTTAGTATGACTGTGGGACGGTAGCCGCATCCCTGCTCTCAGGGCCACCCCCTGACAGGTGCTCACAGAGCTTGCCGGCCAAGGCCCTTCGAACAGTAGTGTAGTCTCCAAGAAGACTCCAGGCCCGTCTCGCCCTCCTTCCCTCCCTCCACCATGTGAAGCACCAGGCTCCCGGGTCTCCTGGAGATGGAGAACAAGGCACCTCCAAGACGCTTCTCCTTCACAGCCTGCAACAGGAAGGAGCTTGGAAATGAGTGTCAGCAAGAAAAGAGGGTGGAAGTCAGTCAGTGGGTTTCCAGGCACTCAGGCTCTGGTTGATGATGAAGGCTCAGGGACTCTGACGCTCTGTGAGGCTTTGGTCAAGGTATTCTGTTGAGGTACAGGGAACCACCTCTCACACCAAATACAAACTCTTCTCAGGGAAGAGACCACTGTCCTACAATCCTTCCCCTCTCCCAGACCTCTCTGCATCCAGCAGGGTCACTACCACACCCTCCCAGCTGACTGGGGAGCCAGGAGGCATTGACTTTGGTTGACTTAGACTCGGGCATGGACCAGGGAGTCCCTCTTGGAAGATGACCCCAGTGATGGCAAGAGGCCACGATAGTAGGGGTGCATGGCAGTCACCTTCCTTCAAGTGGCTCAAGAGGACAGCTGGGTGCTAGGCTGGACAGGTGCAGGGCTGTCTCAAGGTGCCCCCCAGACCCAGGAGGCCAAACCTTGGTGCCGGTTCTGAAGGATTCAGGCTTTACAGACTCAGCCAGAAGATGGACATGCCCTGTGTCTGTGTGCCAGCCTTTCCCGTCCTTACGTGCCCCCACTCTGTGCCTGGCCTCGGGTCGTCTTCCTCTGGCATGCCCTTCTCTGCCACGTCTACAGGGCCAGGTTTAGCTGACACACTGCCATCTCCACACAGCACTCCCATGCCTTCCCTCCGCCCCCTCAGGGTCCCCAACACTCCCGGCTTGTTGGCTTGTTTAGGGATCTATCCCTGTCCCACCCACTTGCCTGAGGTCTCCCATCTGTGTCCCCAGGCCAGGGCAGGGTTAATGGTATGGGTGAGGAGGAAGGCTGGCTCCCAAGGGTTTTACCAAAGATAACATGTGTTAAGGTCCCAGAGCCAGGTGGGCTCAGACCCCAATTGCTAGA